TGCACCTTTTTCTTTCATCTCTGAAACACCCACCAATTATCTTTATCACTGCTCCCCACCCTGTGATACCAATGTAAACAAAACCCAGTGGTAGAATAATCAAGTTTGCCAGTGAAAACAAAGCACCATTACACTAAATCTTTGTTCCTTTTAGTAAGTTACAGCAGCACTTAAGAGACTGAAGCCTCAGACATTCTATTGCTTAAAACCTTGTTTCCAGGTCCTCTGCAACACTTTGGATCCTGGCATTAAAACAGAAGAGGTATTGAACACAGGATATGCTCACAGAAACACGGATAGGAGTTCCTCTGAATTTCTAGCGACATAAATTTGTGTGCAACAGACCTACTTGGTGTCTGGTGACATTTACAGGGCAGATTTGGTTCTCCTGTGAGGCTGACGAGTCACTGGCACTGAACAATTTTGCCATAGCCACCTCTTCCAGCATCATAGTCCTGCCGATACTCATCTCGGACCTTACGAAGGAGGGGAAAAGGGGAGTCCAGGAAAGACAAAGAAAAACAATTTCTCAAAAACTCTTACATTATCAGAATATAGTCACACTGAGCTCACAAAATGTAAGTGGCCACTCAGAGCTGACTGACAAAACTGAAGGCAGAGTGCATCATGCAGAAGCCCAGAACAACATAAACCAACTTCCTTTTCAACAGCATCCCAGGGACTCCTCAATCGAGGCAGCCCAAGCAAGGATGGCTGGTCTCGTGCTCCAGCAGTAAAAGCCACTGCCACCTGCTTCACTTTGGGTAGAACAACTGCTGTCCTGTGTGATCTTGACAGCCTTATATCTTCAGGGCTTACTTACAAGCATTATCTCCCCAGGCAGCCAAGAGTTGTTTCTGCAAGTACTTTTAGTGAAATACATGAAAAAGTTATCTGTACTTAGTAGCTAACACTGCCATTGACCATATGTCTTACAGACCAAGGCACAGTGTTACCTTAAACAATGACTCCTAAGTTGCTGTTTCTGAAATTGTTCCAAGTGTGTTCACTCAAAACCAAGAAATTTGGCAAAGTTACCTTAAACCCCCAGGCTGAACAACAACCTACCTGCCCCCCTGATCTTCCACGGCCATACTGCCTACCCTCCTTAAATCCTGCATCCCAGTCTGTCCTTATGATCCTGTCATCAAGTCTGGTTCCGTTGATGTATCGCATTGCATTTTCAGCATCTCCTCTTGCATAATACCTTAGGAACAGGTTAAGGAAAAAAAAATGGACTTCCGTTTTCAACGCATGGAAAAAAACCCAATATCAAATTGGGTACAAAACCAAGCCTTTGCTTGAAACAGGTTCCTGCTCAGTTACTTTCAGAAGCAACAGCTTTTAAGAAGCTACACGAGCTGAGAAAACTGTTAGTGAAAGAGGGCAATGTGCTGGAATTCAAGCACTAAAAACGCATATACTGGATTAAGTCTGCCAACCACGCTCACCCTTAACAGCACAAAGTTCTATTGCTAAAAAGTGAGAAGCCCGAGCGAGGCTCCATTCATGCTGCAACCTTCCACCATTCTGGTGAGTTCACTGGAACCAGTTACAGAATGATCTTCAGAGACTCACACGTAAGAGACTCAAATGATCTTCACAGACTACACAACAGGGATGTAAGATACCAACAGTAACTTTACATTTATGCTCATACGAAAAGAAACAGCTTTTTACTTGGGCATGGAAAATATGAACTTAATGCAGAGGTCAACTACCTAAAAAATGTCTGGGTTAAAGTCTCACAGCGAAAGCAATCTGTTACCCCTGTTCGACATGCCGTCTATGTTCCAGTCACAGAATCACGGATGGAAAAGACCCGTAAGATCATTGAGTCCAACCGTGAACCCAGCACAGCTCTCTCACGCCTGCGTCCCCCACAGACGCTTTAGCAAACGATTACTTTTATCCTGGGAGAACTCTGCCGTGACTCAGAGCCTGCAGTGCAGAGCAGTTCACCCGCGCCCTGACCGCTCCTGCCGGCCCACACAAGGATACTCCACGAAGCAGAAGCCGCAGGCGGTTTTCTTCACTTTGTCCAGCCCCATGATGACCTTCTTGATGTCGCCGCTCTTGCCAAAGAGCTCGTGGATCTGCTCCTCGGTGGTGTAGAAGGACAGGTTTCCCACGTACAGCGTGCAACTCTTCCTCAGCAGCCGCTCCTGGTCGTAGCGCGTCCCCTGGGCCGCAAGGACACCGCGTTATCCCCCGGCACAGCCCGGCCCGAGCGGGACGGACCGCGCGGCACCCACCCCCGGCCAAGGCTTCACCCAGTGCTGCGTCGCGGTTACTGGCTGAGCTCGGCGTACGAGTCGCTGCCGCGGAGGATGCTCAGCGTCCCGCGGAGCTCATGGTGGGGCTGTTGTCCAGCCCGGGCACAGTTCCGGCCTGCCCGGCCCGGCCGGGCCCAGCCTGCGTCTGTCCCGGCCCAGGACCGGACGGAGGCGCACCGACCCCTCCCAGCGCTGCCCGACCCGGCCCGCCTTAGCGCCTTCCCTCCCCAAGCGCACGCGCCCCGCGCAGCCAATGCTGGCGTGGCGGTCAGCACGAGGGGGGGGCGCGCTCTCGCGAGAAACGGCTGGGGACCCCCACGCGTTGAGCGGAGCGGCCGGGCGCGGCGGTCTCGCCGAGAGCGGCGGCCATGTCGTTGCGGCGCGCGCTGCTTGCTGCTGCTGTCGAGCCCGGCGCTCGTGGAGCGGCTCTTCGGTAGTCGCGGCCCATCCGCGCCGCCGCCGCGCCACGCCGCCGCCATCACCCGCGGCCAGCAGCACCTGGCCCGCGGCCTGTTCCGCCTTGCGCGACACCTTCCTCGGGGAGACTCAAGGACGGCGCCCGCCAGCCGGGGTGGCCGTTGGCCGCGCGCGGGCCGTGGGCCGCGGCGCCGCCCCCCCGGTACAGCGCCCTGAGCAACGCGCCGAGTGGCGGAGAGGCGGCACCCGCCGGCCCGAGGGACGGGAGCGACAGCACACGACTCGGAGCGCGCTGGAGCCGGCGCGGTACGGCCGGTGGCTACTCCGGACCCCCGCGGGCCCCCGGGCGGCGGACGGCGAGCTGCGGAGCCGACGGTGCGTCCTCCATCGCATGGACATATCAAACTATTGCTGCTCATCGGTGTGATGGATTTTCATTTTACGTGTTCCACAGTTCTCAGGAACAAGCAGACTCTCACTAAACATCATCCAGAACGCTGTCACGATTGTCACTTTTAAGTGCTTCATAAGAAACTTGAAATAAAACCACGATTCTCATGGGAGTGGCTGTAACAATGTCTGTCTATACAGCAGTAATACTCTACATGTGTTACAATTTTGATACAAAAAGGGCTTTTAAGTGTCGATGACGATGGATAGGATAATGCCCATCTTACAGGAAGGTAAAAGCTACCCTAAAAGCACACCTCAAGTCTGTGGTAGCAAGAAAGGTTTACAGGGAAAAAATGACCAATAGAGCCATCCTTAATATGGAAAAGGATGCACCCATCATATGTGATGCACTGGTCTGGTTTGCTTCAGATGCTGTATATGACAACATCTGTGAGACTAAAGCAGTTAACCTTCCTCCAGAGCATGGTCCAGCTGACTTGAGGCTCAGTTAACTGTGGAGGATCATTTCCATTCCTCTATCACCCGAGGTGACAAGGACCTTGTACATTACCTGAGATACAGTTTCCAGTATTGCTGGTAAAATTAAACCTCCCACCAACAAAGACTCAGGTGTGCGTGGACGGAGAGATTGCATCTGTGGTGTAAATTACAAAAGCCTGGGTGGTGAGACAAAAGCAGTGTAGTGTCAGTCTGAGTTAGAACTTATAGTCCAGGTTCTCTTCCGGCTCAGTCACAGGTTACCTGTGCAGCTGTGGAGCAGTCATTGTGCCACGGAAATGGTGCTCCATTCGATCCCCGAAGAGTTTCAAGATCTACCCCACTCAGATTGCCAGAGTTCATAAGTTCTGTGGAAGTAATTTTCAAGATTTAAGCTGTTTAAGAAAGCTGAAAACAGCAAGTACCAGCTGTGGCACATGGCTGTTCTCCCAGAGAGCAAAAAGGAAATTAACTTGGAAAATATATTTCGTGTCACAATGCTTTCACAACCACTTCCATTACTTTGTGAGCCATCAGTACAAACATACATGCACTCCCTCTCCCCCTGCCTCCCCCCAGACACCCACCTTTAATTACAGGCATGTCAGCAATGAAGAGTGATGGATGTGGATGAACATACAGGGGAAACAACACACAATGCTTTATAAGAGAGCAAGAGCTATGTTCCCTAAAAATCTAGGTCATACCTATAGTTCAGAAAATACAGGCAAACCCTTCACACATGCATTTTTCCTAGCATCCCTTTAGAGCCTGGCATCAACCTATATTATCCTCATCTCTATAGAAAACCTGGCTCATAAGACCTTATGTAAACCTGTGTGGGTGTAGAACTGCCAAAGGCATTACCACCTTTGTAAGCAGAAATAATTCAAGTGTCAGATCCGTTCCATAGAGAGCGGCTTGACCTACAATGCATGTGCCAAATTAGTATCTCCCTCCATGTGAAGATGTTTTGGATCCAGAAGTTCACATAGGCAGAACAAAGATTGTTAGTTGTGCTGTGCTATTATGTGCACACATCGTTCTCAGCTGAAGCCCAGTTACTTGTATCCCAGTTGAAAATGAGACTGCTCTCCAGTGGAGAGCCAGGATGTGACCTGTCATTCCCACTAAGCTGATTTAATGGGGAGCAGCTAAGCAAGGGGAGGGGGTGCAGGGGATGAGGCTCCTCCCCCGGGTCCTCCCGCCCTCCCCGGCAGCAGAACTGGTGGATCTCCGACCCTGCCGTGAGCCTGTTCAGGGATCCATCTGCTCAAACGGCACAAAGGATCAAATCCCTCCGAGTTACCCGCTTTCTGTCTGCGCAGCTCCTCGATCCAGCTCCCCGCAGGGCCCGCCGTGCGTTCTGCCGGAGTCACAGTCGCGACAGAACAGCGACAGCTGCGAGAACGGGAATGTGCAAGGGCAGGAGCGCCCCGGCTGCAGCGGCGGAACACCGAGAGGCTTCGATGCCATCACAGAAGAGGCTCCTCGAGCTCTGGGGGCAGTGCGTGTGGAACACGTCCACGAGGATGGAACTGTGGCAAGGAAGGTTAAACAGGCAAAGCTTGGATTTTAGGATTTAGCACAAGTACTTAGGCTGAAGCATCTTCCACGTTCTAAATCAGATTCTCTCAGATCAGTGCTGGGGATTTTTCAAGGCGGAACCACCAAAGACAGGGTTACAGTGCTGGTGCCTGTACTGTGACTGCAGTCTGGTCTAATGAATTTTTAAGTACATAAAATAAAATCTTATTTAATCAGACCAGCTTCTGTCTAGCCCTGTAACCTCTCTCCAACAGCTGATTTAATGCCTATAATCAGTAAACACCCCACAGTCCACAAACCCTGTCAGAGATTATAGAAACTTCCAAAAATAAATCTCACATGGAAACTGCTAAGCTTGAATCACAGTTTTGGTGGGCTCTGATTTCATCCTCTCTCATCAGGAAAAATTACAGAAGTTCATATGAAACACTACAGGGCTGAATAACTCAAATTCTAAGCAGATTCTATCCAGAACTGGCTATACCGGTGAGCATAAGAACATAACAAATAAAGAGACTCAGGAGAGCTCCCAGTGCCACTACTTGTGATGAAGGTGGGCCTGTGAAGAGGAAGGTCTCACAGCACCTTCAGACTGTGCCCAAAGGATGTGAAAACCTAAAACATCGTTCTCCTAAAATCTAAAGGCTGTGCTGATCTCTGTCTAGTTGAAGGATGTATAGTCCTAACTGACTTCTCCAATTTCCACTGGATAGGATGGACATTTGTGGCGGGTCTTCCATTGATAAGTGTGGAAATATCACAGTTTCGTTCTTGAATGAGACACCACATTTTGCAGTTGTGGCTCTGACTGTACCAGGGATTATGACAAAAATGTGACAGTCGCTGCAGGTAAAATTGCTTGCTTGCTGCTCTATTGTCTGGCAGAGGGTTTCTTCTCCAGACCCAGCCATATCGATGACTTGTACGTGCACGTCTGTCTTCTTGATATTAAGCAGAAACCTGGGAGGCATGTAGGTGTGAGCAAAGAGTAGAGTATAGTGCCTTGGATGGTTTGAGGGTGCTGGAGAATGTATGAGCTGCTCCAAGTGAAACAAGCAGGGTATCAGCCCTCCCTGGTGTAGGCACCCGAACAGGAATGCCCCGAGAAGATTGAAAATAACGATGAGGTGTTTCCACTTCACAGCTCTGTCCTGTGACGCGCTGAACAGGACCAATGGCAAGATGAGAGGAATGAGGAACCGAGGCTCCTGGTGACTGAATAGGGAGAGAAATGCCAAAGGAACAAAATAAAACAGCAGTAATGTTGGATTGCCCTCAGAATGCACCAATAGCCCAGGCAGCCCATGGTAACACGATTTGACCCGTATGAATTGCTGGACATACTTCTTTAACATTTTAAAACCAGCAACAGTGGCCAGAACATGTAAGATCCCAAAGAGCATTATTCCATTGACTGTAAAATGTGTAACTCGTGGGTGACTTCCATGCAGTGCAAGATTATGAGGATTAAGATTATAACTGAGAAAATTGAAGGGGGTTACTACCATTTTCTTACGTAATTGAACTATTACATCAAATAGGCTGCCCTCATTAATGCTTAAAAGGTTATCTAAGCTCACAGAGGTAAAATAAAAGGTGTCAGCTGTTATGAAAACAATGGCAGTAAAACATGCACATAGTATGAGCTTCAAAAAGTGGTTTATGACACTTTTAATGCTCCTCTGAGAATCAACAATTAAACCTGCCCAGTAAAGCAGGGGCATTAGAGCAAATGCCAGAAAGGTTGGCCTGTTGAAAAACCCAGCAGTTGTTATAACACCTATGAGAGGAGTGCTTGTAGGCTCCACTGAGCTGCCATTGGACTTTCTTGAGGAAACCAGTATCATGAGAAGAGCAAAGAGAAGTCCTTCAAGCGTGTTGGTAAATGTTCTCGTATAAAACACCAGAGTGACATATGATCCAGCAAGAAGTACCAGCGCTTTCCAAAGATCTGCTTCCCAGAAAGGGGCTAATCGATAAACGCTATAGTCGAGTATGAAAGAAAAGATTGTAAAGAGAAGGCGAGGTGATACAAGGAGAGTGTAGCTGTTGATGCAACTTGAACATATGTCCAGCTGCTGCAAAGACTTGATTGCCCAGTAGGTAACTCCTGATGTCATTAATGGGAAAACAACTGTTCTGCAAGGAAAGCTCGAAAGGAACTCCCAAGGATAAAAGACCTGTAGATTTAAAATATCTCCTATAAAGGAAGAGAAAAAGAAAAATACATATAATACATAATACATTTTATTCAGTAATTCAGCAGTAGGGATACTATTTGCTGTCAGAGGCATCACAATGCAGAGCAGCTCCCAGACTTTTGAGACCTTGGTGTCAACCTTGACGGTTTTAGGAGTGTACCGTTCGTTTTCACAGAGAATCAGGAAAAAGCAGCTCGTCGGGGTGATGCGGTTGCAGGCGCCACTCGGTGTGGACAGCACAGAGCAGGAACCCACCGCCCACCCAGCCCTGCGGACCCGCTCCTGCCCGGCTTGCGGGAAGCGCCGTGTGACAGAGCGGGACAACGAGCCGGCGGCTCCGGGGATCCCTCGGGAACACCCGCCCGTGCCCGGGGCTCCGCATCCCCCGCATCCGCGGGGCTGTGCGAGGCAGCGCGCCCGGGGGTCCCCCCGCGTTATCCGCGCCCCTTACCTGCCATGACCTCGGGCGCCTGGAAGAACTCGTCGGGGTGCAGGTACCCGCTCTGCGGCAGGAGGCACCAGCCCGCCCTCAGCGCCGCCAGCAGCGCCCACAGCGCCCGCGCGCCCATGGCGGCCCCGCGCCGCCCCCCGCGCCGCAGGGGGCGCCCGCCCGCCGGCACAGCCGCCGCAGCGGAGCCCCGCGCGCATGCGCAGCGATCCCCCCATCAGCCGCCCCGCCGGCTGAGATCCAGGGAATCGTGGGGTGGATTGGGATGGAGAAGAATCACACCCTCCACAGAATGTGCTGAGTTGAAAGGGACCCACAAGGATCATCGAGTCCAACTCTTAAATGAGTTGAACTCTTAAGGGAATAGCCCATATGGGGATCAAAGCCCCAAGCTCGGTGGTGTCAGCACCACGCTGTGGCCAGCTAAGCCATCTCGGGGCCACCTTGGAGACCCCTCGAATCCAACCTGTGACCAAACACCACCATGTCAACGAGACCATGGCACTAAGTGTCTCATCCAGTCTTTCCTTAAACACCTCCAGGAATGGTGACTCCACCACCTCCCTAAGCAGTCCATTCCAATGTCTAATCACTCAGTGAAGAAATTCTGACTAATGTCCAACCTAAACCTCCCCTGGCACAACTTGAGGACATGTCCCCTTGTCCTATTGCTTGTTACCTCGGAGAAGAGGCTGACCCTCACCTGGCTACAACCTCCTTTCAGGCAGTTGAAGAGAGTGACAAGGTCACCTCGAGCCTCCTTTTCTCCAGGCTGAACACCCCCAGCTCCCCCAGCCATTGCTCATCAGACTTGTGCTCCAGCTCCTTCCCCAGCTCTGTTGCTCTTCTCCGGACACACTCCAGCATCCCAGTGTCCTTCCTAAATTGAGGGGCCCACAACTGGACACAGTACTTGAGTACTGTGGCCTCACCAGTGCCATAGTAGAGAGTACAGAGGGAATATAATCACTTTCCTGGTCCTGCTGGCCACATTATCCCTGATAAAGGCCAGGATGCCATTGGCATTCTTGCCCACCTGGGCACACTGCTGGCTGTTGTTCAGCCGGCTATTTCATAACTGACCAAAAGCCCAGGGAGAAGGAACACAGCAGTGACAGCAGCTGGAGGCAGCTGGCCAGTAATTGTGGGTCTGGGCAGCGGGCACCATGTCACAAATCCCTGCCACAGACACGCTCATCCCATCTGGCACAGCTGGGGACTGGGCTGGGTCTCTCCTCCTCCAGCTCTGGTAACCTGGGAGCAATAGAATGGTGGGCAGCAAAGGGGAAACACAAATGTTCATATCCCAGAAAAGCAGTAGTTTAGCTATCAGGCTGCAGTTTGGTTAAAGTGTAATTACTTCTCATATTTATTTGTTATTTTCACTTATTTACATGATTATTATCTGTTTTTACACTGAATGTCTGTTCATCCCAGGATCATGAGGCAGGTAGGAAGACAGTGCCTGCCAGCAGCACAGCAACATTCATGGTTAGTGCAGCTATGGATAAAAATAAAATCCATATTCTACAGCCAGTAGAAACAGAAAAGGTTACTCAGAAGTGAAGTACTTTTGTTTCACCTACAGCAAATACAAGTTTCATGCATGGGCACTCAGGAGAGCCCTGTGTGGAAGGAGGAGAACCACAAGGTTCTTGATGGAGACTGCATCAGATTAAAGATCACAGGATATCTTGTGAGTACTGGGTGTGGTAAAGTCAATAAGCTCAGTGGATGCTCACATATGGATTTGTCCTTTTCTCTGTCAACAGGTAGTCCCCTCCAAGTCTCTCTGGGCTTCTTTTTTGTCCAGTGTCTTTGGAAATTTCCCCTACTTCCTTCTACTGGAGGGTGGAAGACTTTGTCCACAGCTGTTCAGCTGTTTTCTAGACTGGTCTCTGTCCACAGCCTGTCCATCCTCTGTGCACTTACCTCTATGGCAGCAGAGCTCGGGAGGAACTGGATAGGATGGGTTAAGCAGGGATGTGCAGTCTGAACTTAACCAGCCAGGAAGCCAGAGAGGATTCACTAGATAAGGTTTTTGATACTGCCTTCCAACATGCAGAAATTCTTCTACAGGTCAGAAACCCAGTATCCATCTAACAATACTTGGAAATCCTGAATGGTTCAACATCAGCAACGATGGCAGAGATGCTCCAGGTTTGGACTGATCTTGTAAAGCATGTTGATACTGTATTGCTGGCTTCTGCCACAAATTCCACCCCATCCACACAGACGGGGCAGCTTCCAGCCCCATCCCACTCTCCTGATGAGCAGGTGCTGTTGGCACTTGCCCTGCAAGAGGCAGGAAGAGGCATTCAAATGTTAGCACAGCACATTATCCAAACAGCTTTTCTGAAGAGAAGGTGGTTGGGCAGAGGTGGCCTGGAAGTCGCCATTTGAACCGTCCTAGTCCAAGCCTTGTATCTGACACAAAACAAGAAGGGGAATGACTGCAGCCACAAAGGAGTACTGTGTTATCTTATTGCCTGCCCCAGAGCACTGTGGTGTTTGCATCCCTTCGAGGGACTCAACATATTCACTCCCCAGCCATTCTGTGTATGTTCTCTTCTCTTGTAATGGCACAATCTCAACAGCTGAATCCTTAAAGATCAAGTTTTTTCCTTGAAAAGTTGAAGAATCAAACATTTTGAATCCATTTCCGTTGCTGCTATTTCCAAAGTAGACCTGAAAATAATGGAAAGGTTTCAATATTTTGCAAGATTAAGTGCCACATTCCTCCTGTTCAACATGAAAGACAGTAGGAACTGTTTTGTAGATGAAAAATTCATACACAATTGCAGAATCTCTTACGCGTTTGCTTTTAGACACTCCAGTAGATTAGAAACAGAATTCTGCCACAGGCAATTACAAGGACAGCATTTGTGATTCTGGTTTTTTAGTTACTATCTGGAAAGAGCTGTAGTTTTAAAAAAAATTCTTCTGCCTAAATGTTGTTCTGTAATGTAGGGTTTGTCTGCCCAGGAGTTACAGAAATGACTGAATCCTAGCATGGAAATACTCAGTATTGCTTTTGAACAAGTTAACTTCAGTATGGAGAGGAACCTCTCTGAAGCAGCCAGGCAGATGGTTCACCCTGTACAGGCTGCAGCATAAATATATCCAGCAGTGTTCTGTTGCACTCCTAGGAAAATTCCAGAATGGAAAAGCGTTAGCATGTACTCTATTCCCTGTAGACCTCAAAGTCATGCAGAAACATGGAAAAGTCATGGGAAAACACCTTAAGCTCCAGAAAAATTACTACTGCAACCAGTGGCTGGGCAAAAAGTTGAAATCCCTTGTGCACCAGGGTGGTTTTACTGGGAGAATGACATGGGTTGTATTTTACCTTCTCTGTCACAATCCCAAGAACAGGGCTCTGCACAGTCCCATGATATGGCAGAATGGTCCTGTTGTCTTTATCTTTGAACTGTGTTAAACCATATAAGACTCCCCCTTAAAATAAATGGATTATTAATACCTGGGCTTTGTCCAGTAGTCCATACAGAGCAAAAACATTGATATCTGGGTGAACCATAATGGCTTGAGCTGGCACCTGAGCCAGGTGACAGTCAGCAAACTGAGTGACTTCAGCACGGGCACCATTTGGACACAGTAACTGGAAATCACTGGACTTTAAGTTTTGGGCCCAACTATCAGTGTTATTACCTGAAAAAAAGAAGCCGGTCATTGTCACTCATTGAATGCTTTACAGCAAGAGAAAATAATGAATTATAATAAAAAGTTGTGTAAAAGTAAGTACCATCTGTGTTCTCAAACACTGTCGAGTGCTTCACAAAGGCCACATCCCCAGAGTCCTCTGCCAGGCACCTAAAGGAAGTCAAAGATATAAATTCAATTCAAAGCATCTTTATGTGAACCACATTTTTTATAAAACTCATAGGTTTATAATACAATTTTTCTTACATACATTCCTGCAAAAAAATGTACTGGACCCAAAGGTAATCAGAAAAAACAGAGAAATTAGGCATCTTGAAAGGAGGGAAAAGCAACATCTTTGCAAAGCATTAAAAAAAATATTCTCAATCAAGAATTTTAAGAGAGGAATACAGTAGAAAAATGGTATTAAAATCAGTGTGAGATACAACAGAAAAGGCCAGTATTAGATGAGCAAAGAAATAGAAGACCTATTATGTGATAGTGCAGCATTTACAGTCCTGTACATTAGAGATCTCCAGTTAATCTAACTGCAGTTGCTAAGGGCACTGTTCCAGAGCTAAGTTCAGTTTCCTCTAATTTTCTGAAGGAGGAGCAGCTCAACATGCCAAGGGCACCCTAAAAGTCACCTCCTCTCCTATGAGTGTGATATCCCATTACAGAGAGTGCCAGGGCAGAGGTGTAGAACACACACCTTTACCAGCATGTTACCCTGTGGTGTTCTCTAGTGCACAGTGCAACAGGCACCACAAGCTGATCAGAGATTTTTGTGTTAAGCCTGAAATATGAAGTCAACAGACAGGAGAAATGCACAGTAATTGCTCCACTCAGTAAAAAATACATAAATAACATCGACCTCAAAACAGTGAGCTGGGTGAACTAGCAAAAAAGATCTATCTTCCCAGGTATTTTGGGCAGTGTGTGGTTGCAGATGATCTGTGGGTAACAGTTCAATGGTGGTACCTTGCAGTTTATTCTACAAATGTTTTCCAGAAGCACTTTTTAAAACAAGATAATTAATCCCACCAATCAAATAATGTAAAGCTGTAACTGTGCATGGCTTATGCAGTACAAAATGTGAGGGAAAGTTATCACTGCTAACAGTTACCAAAAATACATATATTTCAATTGCACCTGGTTTAACATCAGCAGTTATAATCAAAGGTCTTATCGCCCTGTGGCTGACACTGTCATGCAGGGAATGAGGACTCAGCAGGTGCTGTTCAGTGCATTTCCCCATCAGAAAAAGCTGTTCCTGACAGATTTTTCACTACTCTGCACAGTTTAATTTGCACAAGGCAATGGGATATACACAAACTGAATGCCTTCTCATACTTCTAGTCTAGTTAGTCTGAAGACAGCCAGAGTTGAAGAAAACCTGAGGTGAATTCTAAACTCATCTCAATTACCTCCATAACTCAGTCTTCTTTCAGAGAAGATCACC